TCCACATATTCGATTTAAGTAAAATCGAACTACCCTCGTAGTGTAGACATACCCTTAGTTGCCCTCTAGATTGGTGTGAGGGGAATCCAAGCCTTTGAATCTCTGGCTGTTAAGCCTCCCTGAGACCAAATGGAGTCCAGGCGCTGTCCCTGTCTTGGGGCCTTGTGACAGTGACTCATCCACCAGTGTGCCCCATTGTGGCTGGGCACAGGGTTTTCCCTCCTTTTGTTGCCCTGCCAGCCAGCCATTCTGGTGGTCCCGTCTGTCTTGCAACTCAGCCTCCTCCAGCCAGGTCACTCTCTGACTTACCCTGAAAGGGTGGGATTGAGTCCAGTTCAAAACAGTATGGCAGTCTTGTACTAGGTCTTTGGCTCGACTCTAGGCCTACTAGGCTTGTGACTCTTGTCCAGAGCCTTCACCAGGCCTTTCCTTGGGGGCCCATAGGGGGAACCCAACCTCCTTCCAGAGTCCCTGTAGCAGGTGGCTAAGGTCTGCTTCTTTAGACCACCTGCTTCTTTCCTGGGCTACTTGCTACTGCAGCCAGCCTCTAGCCCTTCCTCCCCAGCTGTCCTCAGGCTTCCGAGGAAAGGTAACAAAGGAAAGCACAACACAAAAATCGTCCAAGCATGCCCCTGGCCCAGGGCCGGCTCCAGCATTTCTGCCGCCCCAAGCAAAAAAAAAAAAAGCCGCGATTGGCGGCGGCAGTTCAGCGGCAGGTCCTTCGCTCCTAGAGGGAGTGAGGGACCTGCCGCCCACGAATTGCCGCAGGTGCCGCCCCCCTCCCTTGGCCGCCCCAAGCACCTGCTTGTTAAGCTGGTGCCTGGAGCCGGCCCTGCCCTGTCCTCCCTCCTTTTAGGAGCTACCTGATGATAGCATCCTCAGGGCTATTGTGAATTGTTTGCAGGAACCCTCTACTAGCTTCATCCACCACGATGCTCATTTCTGGGAACTAGTGGGGAGAGGTCTATGTACCTTCCAGAACTACGCCTTCTGAACTGGGCATCTCCCTTTTTAAGGCTCCTCCTCTAAGAATGGCATGCTTAACAGGTGGGGTGGGGTGGGGCTGCCCAAGCACCAAACTGCTCTTAACACCTTCTTGCCTAGAGTGGGGTTTGCACACCCTGACACAAGTCCATAGGCACTCCCTTTGGGGTGCAGGCTCTATTATCCCTTCCTGAGAGCTTAGATTTCCCCCTCCCATCCATGTCTAGCTACTTACCCCCTGGGCTCATGCTGACCCTTCAGACTCTGCTGTAGTTTAAACACATCATGTGCTGCTGACGCTGTCAGCATCATCAGGTAAGGAGACGATGCTTTCAAGTGACTGCTGGAGAGATGCCCAGACTCCTGCAGCCCAGTCAGGGATCTGCCCTGATCATGTGAGATGACAATGTCTTTTCCCTCTTCTAGGGACATATCAGTGGAAGAGGACCTGAGCAGCACCCCATTGTTCAAGGACCTCATGTCATTAATGAGGTACAGTACAGGCAGATGGAGGTGCCGGCTATAGGAGGAATTAGAACTTCACTATAGTTTTAAAACTTGGAATATTAAAACTCAAACACGGGGGGGCCAGGAGTTTGCAAGTAGAAGAGGTTAAAATGTAACCAGTGGTAACTATGGGAGGATTATCTCCCACCCTCAATGATTAACCATTACGGGTTCTGCTGTTCCATGGTGTGGGGGAGAAAGAATTGCTCAGTGACTAAAAAGGGAGGCCAAAGTGCAGTTTACAGAGATCTCCTATTGGGCTTCCTTCTGCTTCAGCAGAATGCACAGGTCTCAGCATGCAGCGCGCCATCCCCAGCCAAGTAGCAAGGCACCGTATTCGTATGTACAGCGTTGAGGCCAATGGGGCTCCCTTTAGGGCTACCACAATACAAATAACAATGACAATATGAACAGCTCTGAGGAGCAAGGCTGCAGGTGGGGGGTGGGGTGGGGGCAAACAGCCCAAACTTAGTGCTAGGGATCTTGGGGGGTTTCAAAGAATGGAAGATTTGGGCCCACTGGCCTGGCACTGGTTTGTTGCTGTGCCAAGGTGACATGGTTCCGGGCTCCTGAAGAGATCTGTTTGCATCACTAATTGGGCCTCATGCAAAACACAAGGAACTCAGTAGAAAGACTCCCATTGACCTCACTGGGCACTGGGATCAGGCTCACAGAGATTATCTGGGATACAGAAAACAGGGCAGCTCGGGGACGCAGCAAGTTGATACACATCCAGGCATCTGGGTGCATGGGCAGAGTTAATACATGGGGTTTTTATGGTCTCATTCTAATGCCTGCATAGACACATAGCAAAACCACAGCACAGATGGGCACACGTGGCCTTCTCTTTTCATGCAAGGCCTGGGACTGGATTAGCAAGTCAGGAATGAGTAGGGCTGGGAACACTTGGATGGCATCTATCTCCGCTCTGGTCAGCCTGAGGCAGTGCTGTCAGCCCCTTCCTTTCAAGAGCAATGAATTCACTTTTCACATGTTTAAAACTAATGAATTTATCAGAACTTAAAATATACAAAAGAAGAATTGCACAGCACAATGCAGGCCTGGCAGCATCCAATTAACATAGCAGAAAAAACAGAAACATACTCCCAGAACTGCCCTTTCCTCCCCTCATCAGCCCTGTCACTTGATGCCCCAACAAGTGAGATGCAGTAATCCCACGTGGTAGGTGACACATCTAAATCAATCAGTAATGGAGCTGACTGATGGACTGAGAGCTGATTTTTGCCAGGTGTGATCATTGGTTAAAGCTCTGAGCCAATATTTTTTCCTTGCAACAGAGGAACCGGAAAGAACTGGGTTCTCTTTGTTTGGCGCAGTTCATACCTTACAAGAAACTGCTCAGATCTTCACCAAAGCACCAGCTTGATGTTAACATCTTCCACAAACAGCCAATGCACTGGAAAGCCAGCAAATCATAGTATTTTAACAATTATAGATTCATAGATTCCAAGGCCAGAAGGGACCATTGTGATAATCTTATCTGATCTCCTGTATAGCACAGGCCAGAGAACTTCCCCCAAAATAGTTCCCAGAATAGATTTTTTGGAAAAACATCCAATCCTGATTGAAAAATTGTCTGTGATGGAGAATCTACCATGACCCTCAGTAAATTGTTTCAGTGCTTAATTACCCTCGTTGTCAAAAATGTATGCCTTATTTCCAGTTTGAAAGTGTCTAGTTTCAACCTTCTGCCATTGGATTGTATTATCCCTTTCTCTGTTAGATTGGGGAGCCCATTATTAAATATTTATTCCCCATGTAGGTACTTATAGATTGAGACCAAGTTACTCTTTAACCTTCTCTTTGTTAAGCAAAAAAGCTTGAGCTCCTTAAGTCTGTCACTACCATGCATGTTTTCTAGTCCTTTAATCATTCTCATGGCTCTTCTCTGAACCCTCTCCAATTTATCAACATCCTCGAATTGTGGTCACCAGAACTGCATACAGTATTCCAGCAGTGGTCATAGCAGTGCCAAATAAAGAGGAAAATTACCTCTCTACTTCTAGCCAAGATTCCCCTGTCCCTGTTTATGCATCCAAGATTTGAATTAGGCATTCTGGGCCCTGCATCACACTGGGAGCTCACGTTCAGCTGATTAACCACCATGACCCTCCATGACAAATCTTTTTCAGAGTCCCTGCTTCCCAGGAGAGAGTCCCCCATCCTGTAAGTATGGCTGCATTCTTTGTTCCCAGATGTATATATTTACATTTAACTGTATTAAAGCACATATTGTTTGCTTGCTCCCAGTTTAACAAGCAATCCGGATTGCTCTGAATTAGAGATAGAACAGACCAATTAAATCGTAGCTTGTCCATTTTAAGAGCCTCTTCCCCCTAGCTTTCCCTGCAATAATGTATAGTCTCCATTGTTTTCTCCAATCTAGTTTTATGTCTCCTATGATTGGTCTTCCACTGCTTCCCTAAGGACATTATTCCACAGGATAGTAGACGTCACAATTAAGAAAGGTTTCCTGATCCTCAGTCAAATTTCCCTGTTTCTGTTTCATCCCTTACTCCGACCCACTTTGTCCCATATTCAACAATTTCAATCCCTCCTTGGTATCTACATCCTTCCAACACCAATTCTTCTGGATGAGTATTATCTCTCTAAATAACCTAGATCTGTTTAAATCTGTTTATATGCGAGGCATTTCATTCCAGGAGCTTGTGACAGAGTCTTATCGGTGACATGCAGTTTGATCATTCATGCCGTGAAGTTTGCATTCAATTCAACATTATGTTCTGCACCAGAACCATAGGAAGACTAACATGGTAATGGCAAGGGGATTAGAGTGTGTGTAATGAGCAGCTCTCTCCAATGGGGATATATTTTCTGGTTTCTGTATCCAAATATACTAATACAGCTGAGAAGGACATGGTGCTGATTGATGTCTTCCACCCCCTTTGGGAGTGGAAAGGGCTGGAAAGAAGAATTGCTATTTTTGTTTCCCAGTGTAAGAGGGGTGGAGAACAGTGGGGAAAACAATAGAGGTGACATTCTTTGAATGGTGGAATTTTCATCCAATCACCTGCTCTCTTGTCTTCACCAGTCCTCTCCCACAGTTTGCAGAGTTCCCTGGCCCTGACAGCTGGTTCCTGTCCTTCCCATAAAGGCAATGCAAGATAAGCGTCACACTTTTGAGTTCTGATGAGCTGAATGGCCTGTGTGTGGGTTTGAGGCTAGGAAAGAAGCAGTATTCCTCCATCTCGTGTAGAAAAACTGGCCCAGTGTCATCGGGGTTGAACATGACCACGTTACTCTCGTGCACAGGCTCTGCTTTAGAAGTATCAACCCCCTCTGACAGAGGGTTAGGAAACACTGATGGGTTGTGAGGTGCCATGGGGGGTCCTGGAGGAACGTTACGTGACTCCCAAATATATGCTGGTGCGCTCCAGAGGGAGTGGCTAATGCTGGAGCTGGGAGTGCGACATCAATTCTCTCAGGGCTCAATGCAGGGCTGGAGGTGCCCTGCGTGGCCTGGGCCGTCATGGGTTGGATGACAACATGGCAGCAGTAGTGAGCATTCCCTCCGCCGGGGCCAGTGCAGGGGACAGATGGGCAGAGTCTCTTGCTGGCATCAGTGACAGATCTTCCGTGGTGACGTATCCCACTGGCCATTTCTGACAGGAGTTGTTTAAGATGGCAACAGTCGGTGACCGTTGATCTTCGGTGTCCCCTTGCGCCACTTCCCCACCTGCTGGCTGGCCTTGTGGCCCTTCTTGCCTTCCAGCAAGGGGCTGCTTCATCTCTTTCTGAGCAGGAAGTGAGACGGGGTGGAGCTGAGTTGCTCCTCTCTCTTCCCCCACCAGCAGGGTCTGGGAAGGGGCACCCTGGGGTGGGGCAGTTTCCCGGTCCTGATGAACGTCAGGCAGGGAGCACCCATGGGGGAAGTGCAAGTATGGACCATTAAAGTCAAAGCAGGACATGGGTGCCTGAGAAGCAGTGACCTTAGCACTGCTCCTCCAGGGGAGCGTGGCTGGCGACAAGGACTGACTGGTGCCCTGACTTGAATGGCAGCCAGCCATGGCTACAGGATGTGGAGCTGGAGTTGCCATTTCAAGAGTCTGATACGGGTTCTCTGGGTCCAGTGCACCAAGGAAGCACATCCTCCTATCGGCCACGGCTGCAGGGAGCTCTGCTGAACTAACTTTCATCGGTCTGCAAGAGGGAAACGACGAATCAGAGATGTCACCCTGCAGAGAACATCACATACAGACAGGGAGTGGAGCTGAGGGTTCCCTGGGAGAAAGGTCTCTTGGGGGTTAGAAGGAATCTTTCCCTGAGGGAAGATTATCCCATAATTCCCTATAGCAAGGTTTCTTGCTCCTTCCTCTGAAGCAGCTGGCACCGGCATCTGTTCCTGGCAGGATACTGGACTAGATGGACATTGACTGGACCCAGTATGGCAGTTTCTGTGTTTCTGGAGTCTAGGGGGCCCAAGCAGCACATCACCCTACAGAGACTGTGATCACCACCACCCACATTATATAGCACCAGACCTTTGC